CAGGTCTTTTTCCACCAGGCAGCTTTCCAGCCACTCTTCCCCGAGCCTGTAGCGCTGCATGGGGTTGTTGTGACCAAAGTGCAGGACCCGGCACTTGGCCTTGTTGAACCTCATGCAGTTGGCCTCGGCCCATCGATCCAGCCTGGCCAGGTCCCTCTGCAGAGCCCTCCTCCCCTCGAGCAGATCAACACTGCCACCCAGTTTGGTGTCTGCAAATTTACTGAGGGCACACTCAGTCCCCTCATCAGGTCAACACACCACAGTGAAGCGGCTCTCCCGTACCTGCGCTCGCCTGGCTCCTGTTTGCTGCTGTCGGGGGTTTTCTGAGCCTCTCCCCTGGCACTGGGCACTTTTCCCAGGAAAAAGGAGGATTGTGTGGACACGTGCTCGGCACCCCCATGGTCCCGGTGCGCCCACAAGAAAGTCGCGCGGTTGTGTTTCTTCAGCTGATAAAGCCTTAATGTTAGCAAAGTGTTTGCGTGTTAATTAAGGGGTTTTAATTATTTTTTTTAATCCCTACTTAAACCCGTTCTTTCCGGCAGCGTTTCTATAACGCTGTGTGTGTCTCCCAGTGGCATTTGTTGCTGGAAGTTAAATGAGGGAATATTTCCTCTTTCACAATGGCAGCGGTGATAAAATGTAATGCAAGACGTTCTCAAGGCTCTGCAGTATTTAAAGAACTCTGCTGAACTCCTAAACCGCCCCACCCTTGCTTTGGTTTCCTTCTAGAAGCTACGATAGCGACTGCAAAGAGCGAAGAGTCAACAGAACCAGCTAGCAAGGTCAGTCTGAAGGTGCTGGAGTCTCTGCAAGCCGTGAGTACGCACTCGGTGCCGTTGCCAGGCGTTGGTGTGCTGCCTGCCAACCTCCAGTTTCAATCCCCTGCCGCTAACTTCTCGTGACTGGTGCATCTTCTCCTGGCTCTTTGTGCTTTGCTAGGCATCTGCCGTTTCACTCTTTTGCCTTTTTAATTTTCCCCCCGGGGTCTGTTCGTTGCACCAAAGCTCTGCTTGTTGCCCCGCTGTGGGTTTCGTCTCGTCAGCCGTGGTATTTGCACACGCGGTCCTGCAGTATTCGGTGAGCGGGCACGTCATGGATGTAAAGTGGTGGCGTCGTTACTGGGGGTTTTGGTTTGAATGTTTGATGAGGTAGCGTGAGACAACCTCGGGTTTGTGCAGAATTAAGCTTAGATGCAGCTACATCCACAGTTAAGCAGTAATTAAAGTGATTACGTGACATAATTAGAGAAAAGGGTTAAAAAAGAAATCCTTTGCTGCTAGATCCTAAAAAGGCTGAAACCAATCTTTGGTCTTGACATATTCACAAGTATTACAATGTGCTTTTAAGCAAGTGCTTCATGCGTAAATGAGGTAAAAAGAAATGCTCCCTTCAGTCCTACAGCGGTCGATTTGAGCTGAAAAAATAGCAGCGCAGTTTGCTTCCATTTGATTACAGGAACCTGACGATCTCTGTGTGGTTCTGATCTCCAACTTACCTGAGAAGGGATACTCTGTCGAGGAAGTTTCCAACCTGGCCAAGCCGTTTGGGGGGCTGAGGGATGTGCTGATTTTATCGTCTCACAAGAAGGTATTTAGTCGGGTTCCTACCTAGAGAAGCGGCAAACGCTTTTTTAACAAACGCCGGTGTGAGAATGTAGCGTGGCAGGCACTGAGGTGGGATGCTTTGGATAAATGACAATTTTTTTACAAATAATTGTTTTCTTTATTTTAACAGGCATATCTTGAAATAAACAGAAAATCTGCAGATTCCATGGTTAAATTTTACACCTGCTTTCCCATGTCCCTGGATGGAAACCAGCTCTGCATCAGCATGGTGCCTCAGTATACGACTGTAAAAGACGAAGTGAGTAATAGAGGATGTTGAAATTCTGGGATGCGTGGTACCATTGCGGCGCAGAGCAGGGTTTTGTATTTGAGCTGCCTTTGATGTGCTGCCTGCCTTGTACACCCTGGTGTGGGTCCTGTTGAGGACTCATTCTGCTAAATGTCTTTTGGGGTCCTGGTCTTCCGGTACGGGAACCGTGCAGATGCCAGCAGTGCTGATGCTGTTGATTTTATTAACAAAATGCAGAAACTAAGCAGTTGTTGGGAGTCAGTGACTACCAGGTAGCTGCTGCTGTTGAAGCTCTGTTTTACAGTTCAAATCTCATAATGTCTTTTTTTTTTTCTGTTTTCAAGGAAGCAATATTTACTGCTATAATTAAGGATTCTGACCCTAAGGTGAGTTGCCATCTAACTTCTCTTCCACACGCTGTCAAAATAAGTTACTTTAAACGGGAATTGGAATCCTCCATACTGAAATACTAGCTAATTGAATTGTTATCGAAGCTCTCTCTTGAATTAAATGTTTCTATACGTTGTCATGGGCGAATGAGCAGGGGATAGAACGAGCAAATGTTCACTCGGTTTAGCTCCGTGATGCACGAAGTGCAAGGAATTAAACATTTAACAGGAGTCCTTTGAGACCCTCTCCTTCTGTTAGGTTTTCTTCATGTTGTACCAGCAAGCTGCCGACCGCTGCGCTTGGAGAAGGCGCGGGGTTCGCCTGTAGGCAGCGCCACCCGCTTGCCCGGTGCGTTTTGTAGGCAGGTGTTTTGGTTGAACTATCAAAACTACCTCTGTGCTTTGGTCGGCGGAGTGGTCTCCCTCGCTGTCCCTCCTCTTCCTTCGCTGCGTGCGGGGCGAGCTGGCGATTGACACGCTGAGGATTTTTATGCAGGCGTAGGTAGGCAGAGGTTAATGAAGTTAGAGCTTCTATGTCTTCCGTGAGAAACACGTTCTTGATAGAGGGCCACTCCTTGGGCCTGAAGGTGTCTCTGGGCTTAAGCGGTTGGCGCAAGGACTACACAAGAGTGGCGGTAAGAGCAGCAGTGTCAGAAGGTAATTGTGTTTGTTTAAAAAGCATATTGCAAAGAGCCCTGCTGACAATACATCACTTTCAAGAAACCCCAGGAGGCTTGAATTGTCAGCTGCAAATGTGTCCCGGGGGGATCTGCTTTCTCCTTACGATCATTGGCACTGACAGATGCATCTGAGTACTCGCTGCCAGCACCCCTGCCGCCGTATCCCGCTTAGGCTTCTGAGCTGTTTGGGGTGGAATATTTATGTCTGTTCCTGGTGAAGGCATGAATAATGGAAGAAAAACACACCAGACCTGGAGGGGGGCGGGGGGGAATCTCTTCCTCGCTGGGAGCGAGTGTCGTGTTTCTGAAAGACAGGCAGCTTTCAAGTATTTAAAGCAAAACTTGTTTCAGATTTCAAAGGTCTACTGGTACCTTTGGCCTGTGTGTCCGAGGGCCCTTCCCTTTGGTACCACACCAAGTATTTGGTGCCAGGGTTCAGTCTCTGGTTCTGCTGGCACCACGGGGCTGGTGGTGGCTTTCAGCCCTCTCGTACCTTCTGCACCAGAATCCTTTCTGGTCGGGAGAGACTAACGGGTGTCCTTGGCAGCCTGTCGCCATGGTGGTGGCCGTAACTCTGTCTGAAAATTGAGAAGCACCAGAAATGGTATTTGACCAAGGATCTTTGTGTTACTACAAACTGAGCAAGTAAACCAAACTCCAACTTAAAAACCAGGATTGGGGTCTTTGGGATAGGTTTTTGTGCCTTGACCCATTTATAATCGGTTGACAGGGGGCTGAATATGAGCCAGCAGGGTGCCCAGGTGGCCAAGAGGGCCAGCGGCATCCTGGCTTGTCTCAGGAGTGGTGTGGCCAGCAGGAGCAGGGCAGGGACCGTGCCCCTGTGCTGGGCACTGGGGGGGCC